GCTGGTTCTCTCCTGGGCGACAAATTGGGCGAACTGTCAGGTCTACAAACCCCTAGCAATTCTCAAGAGCTGTTCCCTTTCCATGGACAGCAAGAGCAAAGTCTTCCAGATGTTGGCTACTCAGCCAGGGTTGATCGAGATCTCTGAGCAAGTATCCATGGTTTGTGTAAGTAAAGCTGATCACCTCGTTGAAGATTAAGCTCAGCTCGGGCACTGAACAAAGCGAGGAATCATATCCGAGAGACGACATGGGTAAGAAGAAAGTTTCAATAAAATCAACAGCCCTTTCGTTCCTGAACATACCGTGCCATTGGCACAAGTAAACATTTCTGGAATTGCTAATGCCCGAAGAAGGAGAGGCAATCCTGTGATGACAAACCTGAGCTCGGCTGCAAACTCTTCAGGAGAAATGGCGTCAAAAACATCGTCAATCCTTTCATACTGCTTGTAAGGATGTTGCCTCCCATCGTTGTGATTTCATAAATCGCAAAGGAGGTAAACGGATGCTAATAGGATAGTTTTTTTGGCTAAACATGGCGAGATTGTTACAGTAAAACCCTCGCACTCGGATCGATACATTTGTTTAGAATCTAAAGTTACAATTTTCGTCAGCACGACTACGAGTACGAGGTACTAGTACCAGATCTCGAGCGGTTAAAACTCGTACTCGTACTCGTTCTCGCACTCGAATCTAAAGCTCTCTATTAACAAACAGCGAAGCAAAACACTCGATGCAAATTTTACCCAGACAGGTTTCATGTTTCAAGATCTTGCGCGCGTGATGTTTGATTGACGTGCGGTTTGATAAGGCTGCTTCTGATTGGATAAAATTACAGGAGGAAAATTCCCCCTGTAAATTTGGGTCCAAGGGATAAAAGTCGGTCGCGCGAGTCCTACCAAACCAGAACAGAAAGCCAAGCGAACGACTTTGAGATAGTCTATGTTTCACCCTATACATAAGAATAGCGATATCTTGCAGTTTTCTGTTCTGAAGCGTCGTTAGATCACTTTTATTCAGAAATGCTTGCGTAGAGCTCTTTCTTGGACCCGTTCGAGCTTTCTTTTGTCGGTAGCACTACAAAAATGCCAAGTCAGGTGGCAATAGGTTAAGTGAGACAATATGGCTGATTTATACAGAGTTAATTTAGGATTGGTAGCGATAAGTTTTTTAAGCCTGAACATTACGCCTACCCTTTGAGAGGGTCTATGATAGTCTGGCGGTTTGGCGGTTTAAGCCAAGTTTGAGTGCCGGTTTGCGGTTTCATTCACATTTATCTGGCGGTTTACTACGGTTAAGAAATTATCGTGCGGTTGCGGGAAATCATAAATTTAGCTCGCGGTTTTCGGTTTTTGCGTGTTTTTGTGGCGGTTATTCAAACATAGTTAAGAGGCTCAAGACTGAGCGGTAACTTTATCTTGCTTAAAGCTTCTCTCTTTAACAAAGGATTGTCTTTTAGGGCTAGACCAAGTCAGTCAGCTCTTCCCTCTGTCCCGGCCATGTGGGGAGGGGTGGGGAGGTAATTTGATATAAGGCCAGGCTTCAAACGAAAGGGTCACGAAAGCACGTGGAAAGTTGGCGGACGATGTGGCGAATGTCGATATAATTAAATGTGTTGCCTTATTTTACAAGCTTGGGGCAGCGCCAAAGGATTTTATCCGTCAGGAAAAATTTCGCATATCAGAAGGCCTCTGTCCTGGGTTGAGATCATTTCATGGTAAAGCTAACGTAAATTTCACAAGGTTGTTTTGTCCGAAAATCCATGTTAGAACGACCACATAAGAACAGACAACACACCCAGCCCTAAAAACTTGTACTTTTACAATTCGTTATAAACATCTCGGGCAATCTTTGTGTTTGTGAACTGCCCATTAGACGTCAAAACCGTTTTGTTCGCTGGTTACTGAATGGAGTTCCATAGAAACAATTTGTTCCGTGTTTTTAATATCTTGTGGTCTTTGTGGGAGAAATACGATTATTGAGCTCATTAACAGATCGCAAAGAGTTTGCAAAGTACTGTTAAAAGATCGGTTATGAGGATAATCGTCCTACCTTTAGGGCGGTGTCGGTTTTTAGAAAAAAACCAAAGCGGTTTGACTCGCCTTCTTACATCTTTCATTAATTAATGTGAGTGTTAAAATTCAACTGTTCATCTATGGTGACTCCTAGCAATTTAAGACAGTCAGAAGATTCGACGGTGTTTCCCTGAGAGTGTAATGGAGTGTTATTTTCTGACCTGTTATGCTTTAAAGTCATAGTTTGATATTTGCTCAGGTTTCCCGTTTTAGCAGATTGCTAGCGTACCATTCGGAGGCCCTATTGGCATTCCTCATGAGATTGGTGTTCGCCGTTTTCGGGTCCCCCGCTGTTTCATACATTTGATGGTCATCTGCATATATAGAGAGAGATGCGAAGTAATTACGTATGTCAGATCGTTTTGAAAGATGTTCCATAACAATGGGCCAAGGGCCGATCCTTGTGGACAACCCCTATCTGTCCGCTTCCATTCACTTCTAAAAGCTCCCAGTTTCACTCGATTCAGTCGATTACATAGGTAGGATCGAAGTAGATCACGTAGTTCGTCATGAAATCCATACGCTTTTAATTTGCTAATCATTAAGGACGGATGGAGCGAATCAAAAGCCTTGCTCAGGTCGGTAGACAAGATTTTAACAATTTGCTGGTTGTCACGTGCTGATTTCCACGCTTCAATAAGACTTATCAGCATAATAATGTTTACTGTTAACAGACCTTTCCACTGGTGTTGAAAACCTGGACAACATCTAATGAGAGAAGCAGTATTGTTTTATGAGTAATATTGAGATAAAGCTTATGGACTATCTAAAACGACTGTCTTCACACATCCCAACACGCATGCCAGGACATAATAATAATAGTAATTATAATAATATATATTTTTTTTAATAATAAATAATCCTTTATTCACCATAATCACAAAAATTATAACAAATATTATGATAACATGCTTGAAAATCGAAAAAAAATGTGTTAAAATGTCTAATAAAAATGTAAGAAAAACTAGAGGATACACACTATGATAACGATAATTCACTCTAATCAAAAATATTTCCAAATTAAGTTAAAATCCTTAAAAAATCGAAAAATACATGAAAATGTCGACTAACAAATTATCCAAAAAAAAAAGAAGCTAACTAACAAATGGCAGCCTCTGAACTTTGAATATCTTGGTCTACATTAGTAAAATCCAATTTGGGCCTTCTAATTGTTCTGGATCCTCGGAGGCAGATTAGGGCGGATCTTAATAATGCAAACGAAGTTTTTGCCCTGATCCAGGAAATTGTCATTGAATAGTGTTCTCCTTTCTTGTCTGCAATGAATTCTGCAAGGCGACTGTGATATCTCAAACATTCTTGGCCCATTCCACCGGTCGAAGTAAACACAAGAGACATAGAAATAATAATAATAATTTATAATAATAATAATCTTTGTTTAGCAATAATTTCCATAAAAAGACTTATCAGTGTTGTTTCACA